CTCTGCTATTTTCCCCGTTTCTTTAAAATGCGCGCTCGCGTGCATACGCGTACATGCATATGCACCAAGCGCGAATATATAATCAATGACATAATCAATAGCAGCTTATCGCGATCTTATCAATTATCGCGATCTTATCTATTTACATACGAAATAAGGAGAAAAGAATTGCGTCGTACGAATTCACATACAAGTAAATGATGGGAAAACAGGAAAATCGCATAGTCGAAAATCATTATATCAATGTTGGTTCTTGTATTATTTTGTGTGACGATGTTTTATTTGTTATCAATATTCCGGCTATATTTTCCATAAAAATTGTCCTAAATTATCTAACGCTTCTATTTGCATGAATATTTTTTTCGTAAAGACCTCGTGGAGAACGGTACGTAAATGTAACCTATGTTTATTTTAAAGGGCATAAATAAATAAAAATTAAAATCTCTATTTTATGCTTCGTGAACAATGAACTTTATTTATTATGAAAATATGTAGAAAATTTATGTTCTAGTTGTTATTTACTAATATAATTTCGTACGATTTCCGTTGAGTTATTAATTAATATATAATAATTAATGCTTCAAAACATAAGATTTCTTTGCTATGATTTAAATAACTTAAATGATACGATACGGTATAATACATTTTGTTACAAGTTTATAATGTTATAACTTGCTTAATTATTATTTTATTATTCACCATATCATATTTGACCGCGCGATCAGTTTATGAGATTTCCTCCATATCATCGATATGCAATTAAAGATTAATATTAAATGTAAATTATTAAACATATTAGTTAAGTTATTTTACACCATAAATTTAATATTTTAAGATATTAACTTTGTAACATAATTGGCTTTTATTACAATTCTATTTCGTTTAAGTATTTAATTATGTTATCTGCTATTTTGAAAGTAAATTTTAATTGCATATAAGAAAGATTTTATTTTTTTTATTCTATGCTCTTTGTATAATATTCAATTATCTACAATAAAAGTATTTATATGACTTAATACGTCATTAATATAAGAATAAGCGATGAATGACTTTTCAAATTCCAATGTCTATCAGTGAATGATGATCGATGATAGAAAACAATTAATTAGTGCTATAGAAAATGATTAATATCGCATATCTTATAAAATGAATAAACAAGCAACACAAAGAACTCTTGAAGAAAAATCTGCATTCGAAACAATATAATTTTATTTATATATAAAATAAATGGTCAAGGAAAATTTCGCCGCCAAGACAAACAAAGACGTATATTACATAAAAGTTTTGTATGATCTCAAGATATATTATATGTTTCTTATTTTTAATCTAATTATTAATCAATAAATAAATTTTGTTAATTATATTTATAAAATCGATATTTGTTAAATGGTGATAATTAGTTCGATTTATATTGGCATAGACATAACTTTTTGAAAAAAAGAAGAAAAGATTATTATATTATCATTATCAGAAAACAGCAAAATCGCCGATAGAAAATATTGAAAAGTTGAGAAAACATCAATCAAATGTTCAGGTCAATTCTATATAACAAAAAATAATTTTAAATATGGACATGTACTAAATAATGATCTTAAATAATGAAAATTACATCAGAAAATATGTTGGTCTCTTCTAGATTAATAATTTGTAAATTTATCTAGTAATGTAATATTTTTAGACAGATAAATCAGGTAGATAGTTCGATGGATAGATTGATGGTACCTAGAATCAAGGCGGCGATAGATAAAGTCAAATTTATTTATAATACTGAATTTCTATGTATATAAAACGTTTATTATCGCATATCTCGGAGCTTAAACAAATTTAACTAATAACATTCTTTGAATTCAACATTAAATTATATAAAGATCAATAAATTTTTTTCAAGAAATATTTAATTTTGTGAATTCTACATGAAATAATATATTTGGCTGTATAGTTTAATTAATGATGTAGAAATGAAATAATCAAAATATTTTATTAAAAAATTCTCTTAGAACTAGAACGATAGTATAATGAAAATAGATTTTCTCTTAAAAAATTGATTGGTTTCATATGTGAATAAAAAAAAGTATATCTCAAGGGGAAAATTGATCCTTGCGCCTTTCGCCTTATGGTAATAAACTTTAGTCATTTGTGCAGTGAAAGCTTTACGCGTGCCTCATATGATCAACATTACTATCGGTGCAAGTAATCATTATGATTATAATGATATTTATGATTCTAATGATCATTATGATTATAATTATGAAAATAAGCTCTCAGTAATAACCTCGATAGTCAGGATTGTCAAGACTGTTAAGCATTGGCAGTAACCAGAAAAGTTCGGAATTTTATAGCTCTATTTAATATCAAAGGATATTGTTATGTTTAATAGTAGTTTAATGAGTACGATAAATAATTGTAACAATTACCAGTAAGCGCATGTGTGTTGTGGAATAATAAAAAAAAATCAAAAACTGCTATTCCTCATTCATTTTTCTATCACCTTTACTTCGTATAAAACTTTCTGAAAATTAATGAAAATTGCTCTCATTATCTAAACAAACTGGAAATAATCCTGTATAGAAATATCATTTACCGGGAACAGTATCCAATTTTGTTTACAGTTTTTTCTTGAAATATGTTATTATAAGTATTGAAATTTAAGAAGTTTTTTTTAAATATTTTGGCATCTTCTTTAAAATTATTTATCATATAAAAAAAATTCTATTAATATTTGTTGTTTCAATCGGAATGCCAAAAAGTAATATTAAAATTGTTATTTCGCTTTTATAATGTTTTTATCTATGTTTTCTTTTAATTATTTATCTTTATCTATTGTAAAAGGATATTGCAATATTCATAAAATTTTTATGATACTTTTGAATATTACAATGTGTGTGTGTGTGTGTGTGTGTGTGTGTGTGTGTGTGTGTGTGTGTGTGTGTGTGTGTGTGTGTGTGTGTGTGACGTGGGTGCGTGCAATACACATCATTCAATATTATATCATTAAGATTTCTCTACTAACTCCTCTCATATTCTCATTTTAAAACGGCACTCTATCTTTTATAACATCCATTAATAGAGCATGCGCAAATAATAGTAGTTACTTCATGAGATGATTGTTGCTGACGTCTATAGAATATATGTGCTATGTCGCGCAAAGGTCATAAACATGTAGAACGTAGAACTTCGTTCTATAAGTGCTCGTAAAACTTGGTCGTCAGTGATGTTATTAAGAACTAGTCAGTTCTCTTATTATTCCGTAAGCAATCGATTCCACTTATCAGTTAGATAGTGCGATGAATCAACACGGTAGTCCTTGAAAATAGTCTTAAAATTTTTATTACTCGCATTGACAAAATATCTGTCAACTAAAACTAGTTGCATCGAAAGAGAAGAATATTGTGCTTTAGAATCAAATGTGCTTACGTTACAATAACGATAATGTCTAAAACTAAAGACATTACCAAGTTCTCGACTAAACAGTTGCAAGAATTTTTGATGTCCTTTGACATAATATTATCCGACATCGACGGTAAAATTCTATTTTTTATAATCTTGAATAAATTTACTAGAAATGTTTTTTATTTATATTGATTAGATAGATATATTGTAACAAAAATATTAATTTATAAGAGAAACATTTAAATTAAAGAAAAGGATAGAAATTAAAAAAAATTTTTTTATATTAGAAATTAGAATTATAATTTATTTATATATAAATATATATTTTTATTTATTCTCTGTATTACATTATGCGATACACATAGCATATATTTTGCCATAATATATCTATTAAATATAGATGTTCACAGATATTTTTAATTTTAATTGACCATGATATTAATTTTTTTATAATTTAATACTAGCTACATTCCAATATTCATTGCTAATACTAAAAAGAAGAAAAATCTACAATATATGTGACACGAACTATATATTTTTAGTACTGGCAGTAAATTTCGGAACACAGCCTATTTACTATATTTTATACAAAAATTTAAAAACTATAACTTTTATATCATATTTTATTCGATATTTAAAAAAAAATGCTAAAAGTGTTTGTGATATATACCATTTAATAAAAAAGTAATAGTTAATTAAATATTATAAATAAATTGAAATTATAGTTTTCGATCCACATCTAATGTGTGTTATTATCTTACATTTTCCTGAATTAATATAAATGGAATTTAACAAAATATTATATATCATTAACGACATGTATTCTCCAGGAGTTTTATGGCGGTTCAATAAACCTATTGACGGTGCTTCTGAATCGTTAGCGACATTGCAAAATATGGGAAAGCAATTATATCTAGTAACAAATAATAGCACAAAAACGTTCGAAAATTATTGCAAGAGTACTCAACATTCCTGTTTGAATTTAAGTTCGGTATGTATTGCGATGAAGTTAAATTATTCTAGTAAGTTTGAATGTTATATATTACATCAAATATAATATAAATAATTACAAGATAAAAAAACTATTATTTTTTCTAATGGTAGAAATTGTAAAAATATATAAGTGTAAAAATATTATAATTCTAAATTGATTCTTGTAAGATTTGATCAATTTTTATAAAAGAATGGACTGTTTTAATGCAAACATGCATTAGAATAAATTATTGAAAGAAATACAAATTACTTGTTCATATCGAGATTATTTTTATCTTACACGAAATGTAAAAATTTAACTATAAAATTTTACTAAATATGAAGATTTTTTTCATAAATATATTCACATTCTGTAACAAATTATCAAACAAACTTAATATGTATGCTTTAAGATGTAAATAAATTATAAAATAAATAAATTATAAAAATTTGTAAAAATGATCAAGAAAAGCAAAAAAATGTTTCATGAATCAAAGGATCCGCATTAATATATTAATCACATATATTAAAAATAACCATTTGTAATATATTATTAAATTTATTTTATATTATTTTATATTATTATTTATTATATTTATTATAATATATATTTATTTTAATATAAAAACATTTTTAATTTTACGCAACTAGTTACTAGTATATATTTATGTTTGAAACACAATATGTCAATTTGTAAAATATTTTAATCAATAGATAATAATTAATTACTTTATCGCTTTATATAGGACCACATAATTAACACCATTAAACTAATTACTTGGTTTTTGAAAAAAATCGATTTTCATGACGAAGTTTTTGCTATTGTTTCGGATACGTCTCGAAAAGTTTTGAAAGAAGCAGGAATACAATTAATAGAGAATGTAAGTAAATAAATAAGATTTTCAATTTTTTTATAAGACTTGTAAATAAAGAGAGAGAGAGAGAGGGAGGAGGGGAGAGAGAGAGAGAGAGAGAGAGAGAGAGAGAGAGAAGAAAGTAGAAGAGAGAGAGAGAGAAAATGAACAAAAGTGGAAGAGATAAGTTTTATATAAACGGCATTATTGACACTATAAAAGTTAATTTATCAGAAAACTGTAAAGTTTTTTATCAGAAAACTGTATCAACTCATCAATTTTTTCTAATTTTAATATAATTTTTCATAGAGCATATGGCAATACATTAAACTAATTTTTGTTTTGTAGCCTAAAGTTTTCCAAACAGATCCAAGTGCAACTATAAGAGAAGTTTTAAATCGACTATCCGTTAAAGCTGTAATTGTTGATTTTGATGTTAATTGCAATTGGTCAATGCTAGCTTTAGCTATATCATGCCTTAAACGTAAGGATGTATTATATATAGCAGGAGCAACAGACGAATGGATACAAGCATCATCCGAAATTAAAATCTTAGGTAGGTAGATAAATTAAAATATCCTTGCGACATCGTCATGACATAATGTTTTTATCATTTCTATTTTCTAACAAGTGTACTGTCGCATTTCTGAGCATTTCTAATCCTTCGATAATTTTAAACATACCGCATATAATGCAGTTAAATTCTTGTTTTCAAGACTTGATGATATAGATAAAAAAGTTTGGAAGTTTGGTGATAAAAATCGCAAATACTTCCAAACTTTTTGGACGATATATACATATGTAAAGATCAAAATCGTTAAAATAGAGTTTTCCTATTATTTTTGATAATCATCATTGATAGTAAAATTCTCTTTTCTAAAAATTTTACCGTAAAAGAAAAAAAAATAGTGCTTTCTCATTTTCAGGTCCTGGTCCATTGATACACATTATCAACACTCAGACTGGAAGAAAGCCAATTGTATGTGGTAAACCTAGCCAAAATTTAAAAGATTATATTTTAGATAAATGCAATGTGACAGATCCGCAAAGATGTTTGTTCATTGGTGACACGTAAGTGAAAATGATATCAAAATATATTTTAATTTATTAAAAAATTTTTTATAATTGTTCAAAATTAAAAATGTATACTCACCCTACATACACATACACACGTGTACTGCATATATATATTACATCTGTAAAATTATTTTAAATATTTATTACACAAAGAAAATATTTGATTTTGATTTGAAAATATAAATATAGGATTGATCAAGATATGAAGTTTGCTTCAATGTGCGGATTCACAAAGCTTTTCGTCGGCACAGGATGTGATACATTGGAACAGGCACAAAAAGAAGATGATACTTGTCCGGATTATTATCTTCCTACCTTGAGTCAACTATTCTATGCCTATAATGATTCATAATGTTAACATTAACATCTAATTATAAAAAATTAATGTTAACATCTAATTATAAAAATAGTTGATAGTTAATATTTTAATAAAGGGTAAATATAAAAACAATCAATTTATAACCATAGATAAGACTCGATAAGAAGGAGACCGGAAACCGGCTTCCCTCTCACGTCCTACGCCTCGTTAGATACAAGATTGTCCGCGTCCCCGCGCGCATATGTAGAAAGAAGGAAAGCGACAATGAAAGAAGAAGGGAGACGAGGAAAAGTGGAAATTGAATGGAAGGATTGGTATAGCAGAGAAAGAGAGGGAGACAAAAGAAGAAGGTGCGATGACAGAAGGGTGAAAGAAAGGAGGCAGAAATGGGAAAGGGTGAGTGAAAAAGTGGGAGGGAAGTTGTGAGGAAGGAAGGAAAGTGAAGGAGAATGATGGGAGGGTGGAGAGAGGCAAGATAGAGAAGAGATAAGTGAGGGAAGTGAGAGGAGAGGATGGGAGGGAAAGTGGATTTGCATTAGAGAAGGGAGGGAGGGAGGGAGGGAAAGAGAAATTCTATTTCTTATATATTATTTTTTAAAATAAGTTTGATTAGTTTCGAAATTTTTCAATTATAAATTTTAGATTTAAGATTTTTATTTTGGAAAAATAATTGTAAATTGTAATTACAATCAATATTAAAAATTATAATTTCTCAATCGTTATATTGTTATAATTAAGTTTGACATTAAATTTTAATAATTTTTATAAATTTAGTAGCTTTTTATATTAATTAAAAATTGAAATTTGAAAAAAAATTCTGTAATTTATTTAATCCTAATTTAGTTTGTAAAATGTTTTATAAAGAATCAATATAATTTTTTGATACTTTCAAGAAAAAAAAAATTTATTTCTAACTAAAGAATCTATTGATGAAATTGTACGAGAAATAGAATACTTTGTATATAAAATTATTTTTATTTTTTATTCTTTTAGAATCCATGAAAAACTTCTTTGCATTCAGTCATGTATACATAAATATGCAGTACATAAATAATATATGATGTAAAAACTACATACGTAGGTCACCCTTTCTTTTCTCATGGAATTGTGTATTAAAATATTTCTAAATATTTTTCTTTCTACATTGCAAATGATTATACTATAATCATGTATTATAATTTATGTAAGGAATGTATTTATCTTTTTACAAATTTTTTATCTTCAATATTCTTCTTTGAAAATATTTCATTTTTTCTTCTCATTGTTTTCGTTCTTGCTGTTTTTGAACACATTTGGTTGTTTTGTGATTTTTTTTATGAATTTTGTAATTATAATTTTATAATTTTTCATAGATTTCTTGAAATATATTTTAATAACTCTCTTTATAATGCCTATAAATCTATTCAATAGCTTTTTGCCATATAGTATTAATTTTATATTTTCTCTTTACATATTACTCTGTGTTATTTTTTTTAACATGTAACTTGCTATCATGGTATTCTATCTCATTCTATGCCATACAACTGCCTTCTAATTTACCAATAGTATCATGAATGCTTTCTATTATAGTATATATATATGGACGTTCCATTGGATTGACTTTTAACATCAGTAAAATTAAATTCTGCATATCCTAAAAAGAAAAAAAAAGTTGATTGAAAATTTATATTGTGCGAATAATAAAAGAAATAAAAAATCTGTCCATAAAATATGTACCTTTAATGATATATTTTAAACATATTTATTTATTATATAAGTGTACGTATTATTTGTTTTAAATTAAAAAAATAACCATTTAATTTTATTTAAAAAAAATTAAGCCTCTAAAAGTAAATATCATTTTATAAAGTAATATTATTCATGAAATATAATATTACAATATATCTAAATATAACGAATTCCCAAAATATATTATAAAAAATACCAAAATATATTATAAAATATATATAATAAAATAATAATTAAAATTACTTAAATTATCATGAGAAAAACTATTTTACTTGTTATGCAGACTGCACTGAATAAATTAATGATTCTTCAAAATGATACTTTTGGGATCTTTATTAATATTTGATTTTATAGAAATACTATAAAAATACAATTACTAAAAATCATAAATTATAACAATATGATTAATTATATAACAAAAACTGAATTAAAAACAATAACATTTGAAATCCATAAGAAAAAGAAAATTTTTATATGTTATGCAGATTGTTTTAGCTATGTTTTTCTAGTTCTAATTAAAAAAAAAAGAGAAAGAGAGAGAATATGATATTGTATAAATAATATTGTATTTAATAAAATAATTGTGAATAAAAATTAAAATATAATTGTTATAAATTAAATATTATAATAGTACTACTTCATTGTTCAATCCACATAATGTTATTTAACACACAAATTTGGGAATCTAAAATTATAAAAAATGTTTATATTAGTAATGGACAGATTCCCAAAAAGAAATATATTATATATCAAATTACAACCTTATTATATGGTGTACCTTCTGGAAACGTTACATGTGCGCTAATCACAGCAAGAGCTATGCTATCGCCACGTTCGTAAACAGTATCAAAAGGAGATTTAAAATAACATAATGCATACAATATACATCCCAAAGACTAAAAAAGAACATATGCATTAAATCCTTCCAGCTTCATATAGTAAGACAAGTTTAGAAATATTGTAATTTTTACCCAGATGTCTGTTCGTTCATCAACCATACAATAACTCTCAACGTTAAATAGTTCTGGAGCTCTGTATGGCATGGAACATCTTTCAGCTGCTAAGTCTTGTAAAGCCCTCGCAGCTTGAGTACTACATATTTGAACTCTGGCAGTTGTCACAGAACCTAAACAAATGTTTAATATTTAATAAATAATAAAAATTTGTATATACACTAACCAAATATTAAAGATATAATTTACCTAAGTCCATAATAACAGGTGTTCCAATGTCACTAAACATTATATTTGCAGTTTTTAAATCTCTATGAGCAAGAGGTTCTGGTTTTGCTTCATGAAATGCTTTTACACCTTCACAAATCTGTAGAAAAATGTTGAGAATATCTATAGGCTTCATATAATCAGAATTTTTTGCTCGTTGTTCTAAGACATTCGCTAAAGTTCCCTTCTGAAATTATAACAATGTCAATTAATATACTTTTTAATATATTACATGAAAATATTGCATATTTTTATAATTATTTTAATTAGAGTGACCATTCCGAATTTTGCAAGATATTTTGATTTTCGGTTCTCTATAGAGGTATCCCAAAAGATCCTAAATATGGCACTATTTGTCTCAATTCATCATATAATATGTAAAATAAATATAATAACATATAACAATATATATGTATATATGTATAAATCATATTCAAATTCATTAACTGTGAATAATTCATTACTGTGTAATTCATTAATGTGAATAGAAGATTTAAATAAATTTCCATTTTCATCTTTGATATCTCTGTCTCAGATTCTTAGATACAAACAGCAAAATTCGAGCCTTTAATTACACGTATATAGCTATCATAATACATGTACAATGTTGGCTCACATACATAGATAATGTAGGAATCTGGGAACAACTTGCTTGAATTGTACTTTAATTTTATTTTAAATTTTATTAGTTTAGTTTTAATCGATGATTATTTACATTAAAAAAATAAAAGGTTATGTTAATTGTTTGATTTAATAAAAATAATTATTTTACTTACTTATCTACTTGTATCTAATTTATTCAATTTATTTGTTTTAAAAATTAATAAGTTAAGATACCTTTATCTATCTTTATATATATATATATAAGATCATATATACAAGATCAAAAAGATATGCATACTTATATAAAATTATAAGATATTTTGTACATAATGTACCAATGAAAAAGTTCTGATTTGTTATGTCCTAATCTTTTAAAGCTGATTTGAAACTAATCAAAATTTGATCACCCAAATCTCAACTTACTTGGTAATATGGTAAAATAATTAATATTTTGCTTGTTGTATTCCTAAGGGGATCAGCTGTGCCTTCACAAGTTGAATCTATACATTCTATTACATTTGGATGCTTTATCAATTTGTAATATTCAATTTCTTTTATTGCTAATTGCTGATCTTCTAATCCATGGCAAATAATTTTTTTAATAGCATACTTTTTGCATGTAATAATATCCTCAACTAAAAATACTGTGCTAAATCCACTGAAATTGAAAATTTGTGTTATTTGTTACCTTTTTTTAAAGATTTTTGTATTCACAAAGGTAATATTATCCTCTTAGATAGAAAAAATCCTTTTTTAAAATTAATAATTGTTTACAAAAAGAACTCTTATTTATACACTATTACATAAAATACTACATATATGGAATAAAAATTATATGATATTATCATAAATATATTCCAATTATAAAAAAGTACCGATAAATTTACCCTTCTCCAAGACATTCGCAGACTTTATATTTCCTCGAGTTTACTGTAATAACTTCCTTGGAACAAATACAACCCATTCTTAAAATTAAATTTAAATCTAAATTATTAATTTGAATTCTTTATCATCATTGTGATATAAACGAAGTAAATTCTGTTTTCACTTCTCATTAGAATTTTTCTATTAAAACTTTACTATCTCTGTTAGACATATTTGGTTAACATACTGTTGACGTCAAGTCAAGAAAAGAAATATAGGTTCGTTCACGTCGCTAGAACCAAAGGTCTGTTCTTTTTGGCTGACTTGTTCTTTTTCGCTGAACTGACTGCACTAGGTCAGAGTTTATCTTTCTTCTTCCGGTGTAAAAAAGAAAGATAAACTGTGAACCTAATACAACCAGTTCAGCGAAAAAGAACAAGTCTTAATATAGTGATAAATATAGGCTGCGTTCCGATATTCACTGTCAGTATTAAAAATCTAGAATATACGTGATCTATAATACGTAAACTATATATTTTTAGTACTGGCAGTGATTATCGGAACGCAGCCATAGGCTCGCGTTGCGTTAAGTTGGGTGCACAATGGCAACAGGAACAGGGAATAGCGACAGACAACAGATTTCGACCAATCGGAAGCTGTAAAGAATATCAGAGATATTTCTGATTGGTCGTTCCCTATTCCCTGTTCCTGTTGCCTGTGTTTTTCATTGTGCATCCGATTTAACACATGACGCGTCCTGTGAACATAAGCTGCGTTGCAATATTCACTGCCAGTACTGAAAATATATAATTCATATCACGTATATTATAGATTTCAGTGCTGGCAGTGAATATCGGAACGCAGCTATAGCGTTATAGCGAACGTCAGTCCTTCCTCGAGCCGCTGAGTAAATGAGGATGTCTTTTGTCCCCACATAAATTTTTCTATCGCGTCGTCACGCTTTTTCTTTGATTTTCGCTCACACATTTGTTGTTTTTTCTCAAATTATATTTTTTGAATTGAATTGTGACTTGGTGTTGTTTGGAATCCACGGCTAAGAATAAGGAGTAATAGTAGTGGTAGTAGTAGCAGTAGTAGTAGTAGTAATAGAGTAGTAATAGAATAGTGAACATCGGAATGTAATCATATGATGAACGAAATAAGTGATTTAAGTGACATCGAGATGTCCGAGGAACGAGATGCTAAGGATACAGACTTAAATGTGAATAATTATCATAAAATTATCAGTAATAATTTTTTTACGAAATTGCTGGAAAATGGAAATAACGTATGTTTAAATATTTGATGCTATAAATAGTATTTTAAAGTTTAATAAAAATACTATTTCATTTCATTTCATTTTATGTAAGAACAAAGATTTGAAAAACAGATTTTGTTGCTCGTTAATAGATAAGTATAAAGTGCTTTTCAAGGTTAAAAAATTTTTTACGCCTATCGATGGTATACAAGTATGAATAACGATCGAAGTAGCGTATAAAATATAAAGTAAGCCGATTTTTGTAAAAAAATTAAAATTGTTAATATATAGATATATTTTAATTTTTTTCTACTTTTTATTCTAATCGTATTGATTTATTCTATTACAGATAAAGATAAATAATTCACAAAATGGCAAATATACAAGATCAATTCCTGAACATAGATTTGATAAGAAATTGATATGCATTAAATATCCAGGAAATGTGGTTAATATCGATAGAGCTATTGAAACATTGGGTGGCATTAGTTCCATTTCTATGGTATGATTCAATATAAATACTGTATCTAACTCATTTTATTATATTATTTGATTGTATATATTTGTTATTTAATAGATTGTAGATCTTCCTAACAGAAGATTAGAATTACGATTTAGACCTAATGATGGTTATAGCAAGCCTACTTGTGGAGATAGACATAGTACAAATGGTTTCTTACTTAGAGTTAGAATAAAAAAAATAAGATACTTCAAGTTGAAAGTACTACTTTGGATTTTATAAAATCAAAATCTATGAATATTATAAACTTAAACAATACTTTCTGGTGCACTAGCTTTAGCAGAGAAAATCTTGACACTTCTTCTTCATCAAAGAACAAATACAATTATAAAGATAACATCAGTAATCTGGTTAATCAGGAACAAAATTGCAATATTAGCTCTATGCATTATAATAGCGAAAAAACAATACAGAAAAAATATGCTGCAGACGATATTAACAATTTACATGATATATGTATAGACAAAAATTCATCAAAAAGGAAGAAACATGTATCATCTATTATTGATAACAATAAATATGAAAATTTATCTCAAGAAACGGATTACAAAATACCACATTTAAAAATATTAGGAAGAATAGATACTGAATTCAAATTTACCAGTATGTTTTGTATAAATTATGTTACATCTCTATGTTAAATTTTCGCTTATACTAAACGTATTAATGCATTTTTTTTTTTTAGATTTATGTGATTTTCAATATATACCGATAACACAGAGCAGATCAAATCCAAAAAAATTGGAATGTATATATAACTTGATTTATCCAACAGGGATTCCGCTTTATTCTTGGTTAAAAAATGATGTACCATATTTTTTACCACCAGCTGTCTTCAGCAGAATGGATACTGTACAGCAATATATACCAAAAACTGAAATAGATTCGAGTCCAGAGAATGTCGGCAAAATTAAAAAATGTCATGCAGGTTTTCCCAATTATATATATTTTTCTACATCGGAAGTACCCACCGTACCACCAAAGGGCATTGAAACAGCTATGAAAGTAAAATTACTTCAAAACACACATCTAGAACAAGTGCGTCAACTTTTTAAAGAGCGTCCAATCTGGTCGAAAAATGCTATTATGTATAAAACACAATTTACATCGGAACAATTGAAGATATTATTACCATCAGTAGCATATTATTTTATGACTGGACCATGGAGAATAATGTGGATAAAATTGGGCTATGATCCAAGACAGGATATTAATGCAAGAAAATATCAGACATTAGATTATAGATTAAAAGCTATGCGTAAGTTATATTACTTTCAAGATATGTTGGATGTTCAATAAAGATCGGGACCCCGGATTTACTCGGAAGGATGTTTTTGGAAGAAATGTTTCAGACAAAAATTATAAGTTTTAAAAAGATCTGTTTACTGATTATCGATTTGATCTTCGGTGACGTCGCTTAGATCAAGATCAATTTCATCAGAAACAATTTTTTTCAAACGGACATCTATTTTTGATTCTAGAATCTAATAGATGGCGTTATGAGCTTTTCAAAGCGCTATAATAAAGTATTTTTTCATGAAGTTTTTCGAGTTATGAGGCTCGAAAGCTACGATACCACTAGTATTAGTATTATCCAAGATGTACTACGTGGAAATCGTCCGATCGGATTTACACTTCTTCTCGGAGAAAGATAAATGGTTGATCCAGTCAATGAAGGCAAGATTAGTGGCACGCACGCATTCACACGCATGTACTCATACGCATACGCACATACACAAAAAAGGTGTAAATCCGATCGAGCAATCTCCATGCGGTACATCTTGAGTGCGTTCCACTTATCGCTTGCAACGACTACGATCATGACCGCAATATTTACCGTTCCACTACCTTGTGGGCGCTGTGGGTTGCCGAAATCTTAAACGACCGCGCCGACTCACCTACAAATCGTGCACGTCGTGGGTTCGATGCGGTCGCGATTAATGACGTCATCTATGACGTTCTGATCGCGACCACAACGATCTTGATCGTTATGTGAAACGGGTTTGCGAACGCTGCGAGCGTTGCGGGCGTTAAGTGGAACGCATCCCTTGGATAATGCTAGTGCCGACGGTACTGTAATTACTAAGCCTTATAACTTGAAAAATATTTAATGAAATAATATTTTGTTATATAATGTTTTGAAAAGCTCATGATACCAGCTATTAAATTCTAGAGTCAAAAATAGGTTGTTCCATTAAAAAAAGTCGATCTGACAGGCGATACCACCCAAAATCAAACTGATAAGATTAGTAAATAGATCTTTTTAAATCTTACAACTTTTATTTGAAACATTTTTTCCGAAAACTTCATTCTTCTGAGTAAATCCCGGATCTCGACTTTTATTGAACACCCTGTATAAAATAATTTATACAAATTCATTAAATACGTAAAAGACTAATTTATTAAAAGTTCTATGATTTGTAGATGGATTAGGTTCAACTGTCAGATGTAAAAGAAATTATTCAAATTATACATTACCATATAAATCAGCACCTGTTTCTAAACAAAAACCTGCAATACTTACTGCTACATCGAGTCAAAAACAAAATCTGAAAAAAGAGCGACATTTACATGAAAATGTATATATATATCGGGAAGGTATGGTACCTCCTTCTCGGCAAATGTTTTATCAGGTTTGTAAATAGTTTTCTCTATAAAAATAATACGTTTTGAGAATATTAATTATTTAAAGATTTTGAAACAAAATATTTAAATAAAGTATGTGATGGAACTGTAATTGAATTAGTTGAAAGTAAAAATGTTTATCTTTAAATTTGAATAATTTAAACAGAACTATTATTTTATTATTTAATTAATTCGATTAATTTGAAGATTCGATTATAATTTGAAATTAAAGACAAATTTGAATGAAATACAATTTCAATCTATCAAACTATCAATTAGTAAAAATTTGACCAGTCCAGCCGTTTTTGACATCTAATAATCTTGCAATTGGCTCATGTACTGCCATTTTCTTGTAAGATACACTTCTAAGCGCCACGCTCCCCCCCCCCCTTCCTCTTCACTCACTCACTCGCTCGCTCGCTCAAAAATAAGGCTTTTTATTGTAGATTTTGTACAATAGCTGAAAAAGCAATACTTTTGTTGTGTGTGTGTGTGTGTGTATGTATATTTATACATTACATTAGACACAAAAAATCATATCTGATTGAAACATTGTCTATTTCTATTGTTTAAATACATATGCAGTTTAGATATACTTGTTTAATTATTATAATGTTATTTTTGTTAGTATTGTGATGTCTTGGTAGGAGAAATACAGGAAATGTTAGCAAAGCTTCCTGATCCTTTACCTGGTATTAGGTGTCATGAAAAGAGAGGATGGCTACCAACTGGTTTTGATGTACAGTGCAGAGAAATTTTAAATAAACAAGTACGAGCTGTCTTAAGGAAAAGGATGAATATTCCCGAGGATCGTATGTATTGAAGATCGTTGATTCTTATTAAAAATATATATTAATATTCATTTTGTGATAATAATATTGTATATTTATTATAGATCCTACATCACTTCCACGAAAACGAAAACATGGCATTAAATTAAAATATAATAAAATGATTAATAAAAGAACGAAACAGAGTACAAAAAATTCTACAGAAATTTAGACGTAGAAGATTTAAATCGTCAGTAATTTGACGTGAATAATAATGAAGATTATAGACGAGATACAAGTAATCAAAATAATAATTAATATAAAAAAATTTGAATTATATTTCTGCTCGCTTTTTGTTTAAACTATAGAAATGTAATATTATAATTCTCAATATTTACTAAGCATTGAATATGAGAAATATTACAGTAAATAAGTTACGCGCGCGTGCACACACACGCACGTACACACACGCACGCACGCACACACACACACGTACACACACACACACACACACACACACACACACACACACACACACACATACAATAATAATAAT